TGCCCCCAGGTGGCCTCGAACTCTGGCTGGCATCACAGCCTACCAGTCCTGCCTGCAGTATCCGTTCACCTCAGTGCCCCTGAGTGGGGGCGCTCCAGGCACCCGAGCCTCCCGCCGGTGTGACCGAGCTGGCCACTGGGAGCCAGGGGACTATTCCCACTGCCTGTATACCAACGACATCACCAGGGTGCTCTACACCTTCGTGTTGGTGAGGAGAGGGGTGGGGAAGGGAAGACGCACACCCCACCCCCCGCCCCTGCAAGGATAGCCCACCCTCAGGCTGCTTGGCTATGCCTCTGCCTCCTGGGCATGCACAGTGAGGGACTGGTACCTGTCTCCCATGGTCTCCGGTTGCTTTCCCCTCCCAAGGCCACACTGGGGATGGGAAACAGGCCTTCCTTCACACCTCCAGCCACCCTATGCCTTTTTGCCTCCCAGCACACAAAGGTAGAGCCCCACTGTCCTCAGGCCAGGGCTGTGCTGACGCCAGCCTCCTAGGCCCTCCTAGCTTTCCTAGACTAGCAGGTAGGCTAGTCTCTCCCCAGGCACTGTTGCACTAAGTAATAGTACAGAGGACAGGGCCCCAGGGGTGGCTGGGGTGGAATGAACATGGCGCGATGCCCCCTTTCTTCTCCCAATGCTGCAGATGCCCATCAATGCGTCCAACGCGCTGACCCTGGCCCACCAGCTGCGCGTTTACACAGCTGAGGCTGCCAGCTTTTCAGATATGATGGATGTAGTTTATGTGGCCCAGATGATCCAGAAGTTTTTGGGTTATGTTGACCAGATCAAAGAGGTGAGATTTAATTGGACCCCCCCTGGAAATCCCCTCATTTGCTGAAGCCTCTCTCCCACCCCAGCCCCTGGGTCCCCAGCCCACTCCTGCCCCTGGTGACTTCCCATCACCCACCAGCTGGCAGAGGTGATGGTGGATATGGCCAGCAACCTGATGCTGGTGGCTGAGCACCTGCTATGGCTGGCCCAGCGTGAGGACAAGGCCTGCAGCCGTATCGTGGGTGCCCTGGAGCGCATCGGGGGAGCAGCCCTCAGCCCTCACGCCCAGCACATCTCTGTGGTAATGGGGTCTG